GAGAAATGTTTTTATTAAGGGTGACATTTCCTTCAAGAAAATACAGCATTTCTATAAGGGAAAATACAAAAAAAAAAAAAAAGAAGTATAAACTAGCTAACTATAGAAAATATGTCAAGCCATAGCCTTTCTAAGACTGTATTAAGAGCTTAGTCCTTACCAAGTAAGGTAGAAAAGCTGACATATTCTTTTTTTGTCTACCAAAATAAGGACAGAGAACGATCTTCACTTTCTAGAAGGCCTTAAGGTTATAATTTGTTCATTCTAAATGTGTTGCAATAATATATTTTTCTTTCTTGACTTGTCTGCCCGAGTTTCAAGGAAAGGTAGGTTATTGTAAAACACATCGCCCTTGTTCTTCAGATGGCATACGGATCGTATTTCTTTTCCAAATGTGATACTAGTGGAGACTGAAAAGGAAATGTAATTTTTACTGTCACAAATACTTTATAGGTATAGCCGAAACACGTAAATTAAATTTCTGGTAAATCAGGATTTGGTTTCCTTTTAGCTTTTTTCATATTAGACTACAGGTGATTTACATGCAGAGAACTGAATGAAATAATGTTTTCCTAAGTAGCAAGGCAAATGCTTGGAAGTCAAGCAGTGCCTGTTACTGCCTGTACCTTCTCTTCTGTTCCTTCATGGGGAAAAAGCTAACATGAAATCAGCTCATTTAGTGAGACTTCAGTTCTTAGGCACCATAGTTTCTTGCACTGATTGCCAAACAACTCATTTTCTCATTACCTTCCTCACATAGCCTTTCACAGTGCCCTGTATTTAGTGTATATTCTGTAGGTAAAGTGCAAAAGCCAGACAGGGACTTGCCTATGACTGAGAGTTCAGACCCTGGAGGCCGTGCTTATTTATTCTGATAAAGGCACTTTGGTGGAAAACACTCAGCAAGTCTTCAGTTGCAGTTCTAAGCACTAAGTACTTTTAACTATCATGGGTTTCTGAAGCAGAGCACCACAAAATGAGATATTGCTGTATTTGTGACCACTTCTCACTTAAATCAGAATTTGGGCTCTCTACTAGTGTGTGGCCGTAATAGAAATATTTTTTGTGTGTCTTTGAATTACCTGTGACCACCACGGCACTGTTATCTCTATTCTCTGTATTCTCTACATACCTATTATTGTAGACACATTATATAATGTAAGAACATGCAGTAAACTTGATTGGGATACTGCAGCTCCTTTAGTATACAGCAGTGACTTATTTCCAGAGCATCACTGAAGGCAATTTCAGTAGGTGTTCTGCAGTTTAAAAAGAGTGAAAAGAATTGTACTGTGTCCCTAAAAAAAAAAATCATTGAAATAATAATAATAAACCCCATCATTATGGGAGAGATCTTGTCATTGCTCCTTACATTTTCATTTACAAATCAGCAAGCAGGAGAGCAAGAGTTGTTCTCAGTTCTTTTTTTTTCTTACTTTTTTTTTTTTTTAAAAAAAACTTATGTTTGTATCTCTGGAAAAAATACCCACATGTTTCTCCTCATGTTTGAGCACTGGAAGTTGCAGTTTAAACTTGATGAAGTGTTTTATTCCCCCAGATAAAAATAAATAAATAAAAAATTATATTTAAATGCGCTTGCTGATGAGGAAAGTCAGGAATCTTCCTAATTAAGACATTTCTTAGAAAGGTAAAATTTTTATCTTAGAGCATAAAACACTTCATCAGTTTTAAAGCCACATCTGCGAGGACTGGATCAAGAGCAGAAACAGACATTTTTCTTCATTCTGGCTTGTCTTGAGTTTAAGACTTTTAACAACAGTTTTAAAAATACTTAGAAGCAGTTAGAAACACTTGCAATATAATAGGGATAAAAGTGCCCTCCCTCCCTCTGTTTTTAATCTGGTTCTCTAGATGGGATAAACTACAAGGTTGAATTGGTAACTGGATTATTGCCTCATAAAACAGCACGAGGTTACTATTATCCTTTAATTTTATATCTTTATTAGGGAGTAATGCTGGTCTTATTTAAAACACTGACTTCTCTAATGTTTTTTCTCCTCTTTTACAAATTTATAAAACTAAACCCTAAAGGATTTGGTCTAAGTGCAATTGGCATAACTACCTTTATAAAAATCATTGTGTTTGCAGTGGGTTATAATCAGCAGCTTTAGCTGGGCTCAAAATGTAGCATGAATTAGTTGATAATACCTTAAAGCATTAAAGGGAATATTGATATATGATTAATTTAGAATTATATTTTTAAAAAGCTTCATTTTCAATATTTGAATTTTGAGACAGCATAAAGATGAACAAGAGAGCTCCACTGAGACTATTATATAGCATGTTTATATTATATAGCGTATTTGTGTAGAAGATGCATTTAACAGAGCGTGCATTTGTACAGAGATTAAAACAGGCTTGTCCTACAATTCAGTAAAGTAAATTTAAAAATTATTGAAGGTGAGTCATAGTTGAAGAAGATGGATACAAGTGGCATATTTAATTGTGCATGCAGGTGTATATCTCTTATAGGAATCATCCATCGGGACTGACTTTGGGCAGGTACTTTTCAAGCTACATGGAGTTGCCTGGCATTTGTTTGTTAATGGTGACAGGGTGAAAACATTTGCATCTGAATTTTGGGAAGCACAACACACACACCGTGGGTGTAACAGAGACTGTCTTTAATAGTAAAACGCCTGCTAGGCTTGTCTAAGATTTATTTAAAATATTGAAATTCTTAATTTTAAAAGAAAAAAAAAAGTCACATCTCTCCATTGATTTCAATGGGTTTTGGTTTAAGTTCATGATTAACAACGAAAGGAAAAGGAATATGTGTCTGTCTCTTGTGATATGCTTCCATGACTCAATAACAGTAGAGACTGATGGAGAAAGTGAGGGTGCTGCCAATTTGTTATCAACATGCAGAATTGCAGAATGTTTGAATGCAAGTCAGCTAATGCCTTTTGGTCAGTAAACCTAGAAACTAGTCAGTTCTATCGGAATCCTGTGTTTTATTGTTGTCTGCTCAGCCATTCCTTTCCAAAGGCAGTCTTACTGATGCATTAGCGCGCACACGTTTCAGGCTGTTAATTAACTTAAACTAAATTAAAACTAAAATCTAAAAAACAACAACAAAAAAAGATTTTATGTTGAAATTATTTATGGAAAATTTTGGACCAGTTCTCATTTTGTGGAAATTCACCTTTGTATTAGGAACAGTTTCTTCTTTGGCAGGGGCTGATGAATAATGGCCTGCTACAGGAAATGCCGTGTAGAACTGCTTTCCTTCAAAATCCTCATTGTTCTCAGTAGTCTCCTGTCTTATATTTGCCTGTATTAAGAAGCTGGCTATTTTAAGGAAGGCTTGCAATTCCCCTTCTCTCTCAGTTGGACAAAAGACAGTAGACAATTTAAAAAAACTCAAGGGTGTTGGTGCTATGCTGGTGATGTGATAACTATTTTTGTGAAGCCATCTCCAGTGAAGACTTCCATGGCTTGAATCTTTTTTGAAATCAAGAGGAGTCTGAAGCCATTTTGAAAGACAGGGATTCTGTATGTTTTGCTGTTAAGGTGAGCTATATGCAGTAGGATCTGTTTGTAGTTAGTCTTTTCCTAGTGTAAAATGGCAAAATTAATGAAATGCTAATGAAAATCTTGAAATTTAGACCAGGGGAGGAAAACAGGAAGCTGTAATCTTGGTGGCAGGAAAGAGAGGAGATAGAGGTGAAGCAGGAACGAAAGCAGATTTGGGCTCTACATGCGTATGTTCTGGGGAACGGCCCATGCGAAATGCAAGAGAATTTGGGGACTTACAAATTGGACAGGAAATGGAGGCATGGCAGATAGGTGGCTCTTTGTGGTAAAAGAGAAGGAATTCATAGGAAAAAATAGGGTTATTCATGGGGATATATGGAGGTGAAATGGTTCATAGCTGCAATTGTTTAATTGTTAATTGTAATAATGGATAATAAATTGTTTAACTCAGATAAGTAATAGTTACTTTTATGGAGGTTTAAGATAGCACAAAATATAAGAGGTAACTAGTTATAATTTAAAAGCTTAAAACAAAGATACATCCATGTTAGGTTTATGTTAGTGGGAATACTCCCAGGTAATGTTTTCTCCAGGTAATTAGTTGATAAATCCAGATAAAGTTAGCTTGTTTGGGTGCCTCAACTTGTGCAGTTGCATGCTGTTATATGTGTCTGTTTCAGTTTTGATTTGTGTTACTATTGCTACATGAAATATCCTTGGCACTGTTGATGTTTAAATTACTGAAATCCACTCACAACTGTCAAGCAGATCTTCTGTGAGAATGGAATGTGTGATGTAACTGTGTTTTTTTGTCTAAGGTTACTTTAAGAATTACTAGGCAGATCTTCTAGAACACAGAATTTTCATATTTAAGATCTCATTATTTGATGAGAGTGATTTCATCCTATGGGAGAAGGCATATGCAGGCTAGATAATTAGGATAATGTATGTTATTTAGCACATTGTAGGGAGCTGCTTGTTTTATACCAATTTGTGTATTTTATGTAATCCTAAAGGAATTTAATGGACCTTAGAGAGGGGACTTCATGCTGATAATTGCATAATAACCTTTCTTCTGCCAGACACTTAATGACTAAAAGGTTATCATTAAATGTGTATTAAGTATCTTTGTTCTGTATTTCATAATCATCTTTTTAATATATTCTCCCAAGGGTTATCTTTTGTTGTATACCTGAATAGCTGCCTATGTTAAACATTCTAGCTTTTATGTTTTTTTTTTTTTACTTTTTTTTTCCTGTAGGAGGTGAGGAATTATTACGTAGATGTGTGTACCTGTTTCTGTACGTTAGATAGCTTCTCTAGGTAATATTGCTCATGTTGAAACGTGTTATATGTTAGGCTTCACAGCAGTCAATGGGAACTTTGCTGCTGATTTCAATGGAACCAGACCCTCAGTTAAGGTGTTTGCTTATTGTGGATTTGCCCTAGAAATCAGGCCCACAGACTAACACATTTTATTTTTTATCCTCTTTTCAATTTAGACCACTGAGCTATAAATTTAGAAGATAAGACAATTTCTGCTTGTGGGGGAAAAGTGAGTAACCTCCATGGAAGACTCTCAGGATCTAAGTGAACAGTCAGTAAGTACCAATGCTGCTAAACTTTATGAAATAGATAGAACCATGCTCAGACTGTGAAAAGATTTTACTTTATATTTGGAAATTTTACAAAGATACTGGGAGAGCTTCTGGACTTCTGTATTGAAATCTTTTCTCACTTGGCTATTAATCTTATCTTTTACCTATTAAATATTACAGATAATAACTACGTAGGATTTGGTAGAATTTAACTTGGTTGGAGTACTCATGGATATAATTGGGTACATTGGAAGAACAAAATGTTAACACAATGCACAGTGGTATAGTATGTCTTGTTTAAATATTTTTATCAAATGTATATCCATGATGGTCTGGCAGTTTTGCCAAAGAAAGTGTTAATAAAAGTATGAGTAAGAACTTTCAGGTGATTAGGCTGCTGCAGATGACTTCAGGTTTTTTTTTAGGATTCTCTTGGATTTCAAGAGATTCATGAAGTGGCAGTATCTCTCCTTGTCCTATATTAAATAGAGATTCCTCTTGTTGGTAAAATAGCTGGGAAAAATAGGGTGGACATTTTTTCTCCTTTTCTTTTCTAAGTTTTCCTTTCCTTTAAAGATGCAGTCTACAGACTTTTCCTGCCATGAGGCTACATTCTGAGGAAGTAGCATATTCTGGTCAATTTTAAAATTGGCTGCTGGCCTGCCATCCAAAGTATTGGCTTCATTTTTAATATTTTTAATTTCTTGTGGTCACAGTATTGGAGGGGTTTGTAAGCAGCATACTGCCCACAAGTGTCAGCTTGGGATCAGCATACTAAAGATCAATAAAGGGATTTCATATTTATTTTTCTGACTTATTGAAATATTCCATGTAATAAACTAACTGTAATACATTTTTATAGCAGAAACTTTTATGAGTAACACAAGGGCAAAGAACTAAGTATTTTAAAAATGAGAAATGTCTGAAAAGAAAGAAACATTTTATAATGTCTTCTTTTTTTTTTTTTTTAGTAGGGAGTACTTTGCTCCTGAATGAGTATCTCATATCTGAGACTTTGTCTTGCAGTAGAGTTTTATTGCTTATTTAAAATGAGATGGAACTGGAGGCTCATAACAGCATCTTAAGTCATCATGGTGGCACTACTTGGGACAGCTGCATTTATTTATGCATTTAAATTGTTCCTAACCAAAACTTTGGAGCATGTAAGAGCTACATGGTTTCATAATTGAATAAAGTTTTATAAAGGTCATAAAAGATTAAGTAGAAGTTCTTGTCTCTTAGCATGAGAAAGAATTATTTAATGCAATATATAGTACAGTTATTAATAGGAAGTAGAAGAACCAGTTTAGCTTACTGCAAAATATGTTTTTCATAGTAGTTAAGATGTTTTGGAGCACTGGAGGCCTGAAAAATGCATACTTTAATAATGATTTTATTACTTCATGGCAGTCTAATTTCTGTAATTTTTTTTCATGTTACTGCATAGTTTTATGCTAATATGTGAAAATGGTCTTTCAGATTACAAATTGAGCTGAAATTACATTAAGATGCTTGTTTATGGAGAAAGAATTTGCTGTTTTTATGCTGCTATTATAGTGACACTGATTCAAGGCAAGAGTTTATTTTTTTACCTTTTTGATGAACAGTGTCAGGTTCTTAACTAGAATGCATGAGAAGATTCCCCTTTCATCACTGTATCCATCCTAGGTATGCACCCAGACTCAGATCAAGCCTGAAAATATTTGGTGCTATCCCAGGAAATGGATTTGTGGTTTGAACCTTCCCTGCCTAGAGCAGACACTGAACCTCTATGTCCCTGGCCCGTAAGTCTCCTTGGCATTTTGTCCTGGTTAAACTCTCATGACAGCCAGGTTTGAGCTTAGTTCTTTAGAATTCACAGGGCAGAATTCTGGGCCAGAGACCCTGAGTAGAAAGAGGTTTGTGTTCTCTACCACAGCTTGGGTGGGTCAAGCTCCTGGAAAGCATCAGCTCCTTATCCTCTGCCTCTGCTGCTTGTGCTCTACTGGTGTTTCGTACTGGTCATCTCTAGGCAGTTTCTGCCCATCGTGCAGGATTTCTGGCTCCTTGCATGGTTCAGGGAATGGAGGTACTGAACTTCAGCTGCAGGATTTCACTCTGGGGACTAGGTGCATGAGATTTACACAGTGGAAATTCTAGGAGCCTAATAATCTAGCCTGCGCTGAAAACATATTAGATTGTGTGAATAAGCCTGAATGTAAGACCTGTATTAAAACTCAGCTGGCTTCTTGCCCTGAATATTCTCGTCCGTGGTTATTTGAAAGATGGGCTGTCTCTGCAATTGAGAAAGTTTAGAAGGTGCTTGCTGTTGGATAATATGTTTGATGGACAGTTGGGCTTTCAAAATAGAGAGATTCCTTCTTTTGCGTTCATTTTCCTGAGCAGTTATGAGAACTTTTCAGCCCTAGGAATGGAGGCCAGGCACACTTATTTGGGTTAATTGAATAACAAGGGTGATATTTGAGCTCTATATTTAAAATATAGATAAATAAATAATGTTAATTGCTGCATCACAGTTCTCCTGAAACACAGTGATAGTCTTTTCCATACTTTTGAGAACGTTAATACTGTTGTAACTGAAGTTTTTGTTCATTCTCTCTTCTTTTAAAAGAAACTAATAATTGATTGATTCTGTGATTTCCATCCTTATACTATTTCACAGTCAAGTGAAACCCTCATGATCAGAAGTAGGAGCAATTTCGTAGCATCCCAGTTACTGTTTGAGAAATAAATTCGTCTTAGTCCCAGAGAAATGATCACATGTCCACACGGTGCTTCAGGAATCTAAGGGAACCCCTGTTCCCTGCGCCTCTGGAGGAATTGCATTTGACTGAAAGGAGCAGCTGCTGTGTTCTCAGAGATGCCTGTTTGATTAGCTGGAATACATACCCCGTTTATTGTATTATGTCACTAATTTATTTATTTTCCTATTTTTATTTGTAGTAAACTTGTTGCTCTTGCTGCATTTCAAATCCTTATGCAATGCCTGACCAGAATGTTCTATGAACTCCTTGCTTGCAGTTGTCCATTGTAAAGCCGCTGTGCAGACGATCGATTCTGCTTGCTCTCCTTTGCCTTCTCACCCTCCCTCATGTGGCAGAGATGGGGGAATCCAGTCCTAAGGCTGCACAGCAATCAAACAGGCTGAACTGAAGTCAGGTTTATCATACTTCAGGTTTCCAGTCTTTACACACAACTTTGTAAGTGAAAGCTGCTCTTTGAACATCAGCAGGGAGATGGTGGATGTTGCTCCCGCATGCAGGGGAAAGCTGGGATCCACGAGTTACGCTCCAGTTCTCGCTGTGTGTGTAGGTGGTGCCATTTCTCTGGCACCTTCCCTCTGCGCTGAATCCTAAAGACCCCAAGATTCTCCGTTTCTTTCCCAGGTCAGATGCAGAATATCCTTGTTGTAGAGGAGGGAAATTTGCTGTTTATTGATAATAAAGTTCAGCTAAGACTATCTTGGAAGAAAGAGAACAGTAAGACATGTATTTCATAGAGAAAAGTGAACAAATGGTCCTTTTTTATATTCTGGTGTGACATCTGTCACAAAAAATGTTAAAATGGCATATGGTGGTTTTACATGGAGAGAAAAATGTAGTGTTAATAATTGTAGTTGCCATGGATTTTATATACAACATACAAACAAACAGAGATACAATGAAGTACATCAGATCTTGCATTTAGAAAGAACCTTGGGTTTAAGGAAGTTTTGTTAAGTCTGTTTTTGGAGATTTTAAGTAACAGGATAAAATGATGAAATGATGTTTAGCATTTTGTTGTGTCCTCCTGTAGCATGGCCTTTTATTTTATTTTCATCTCATTCTTATTTGCTGTTCTAGCTGTATTAGTAGGAGAAAAATAATTTGGCTGCTAACTTGCTAGTTTAGGGTTTCAAAGGGCCTTATTAGAAACTGATGTAATTTCATCCTCTGGCCCTTTTATATAACAGAGTGCATATTTAGATTACTTCATTTTAACCTAGAATTAAACAATAGATTGCAGTACTGTAGGACAGAATGCTAGCAGATGTGTGAGACTTGAACTGAATAAATCCATTTTTTCATCTTTGTGGAGTGCGGACAATCATTAACATTGTGCACTAGGTAAGTTATTCCTTTTTCATCAGATTATATAGCGTACTTGTTCTTGCATTTATACCTCTGCTTGTAGTTAGCCGGTCCCTGGCCGGTATTGTTTCCATGTTTTCTTTTTTTCCTCTTTTTCTTTTCTTTAACATGTGAAAGTGTCAGCTGTGATCCCCTTGCAGATCGGTTTTCAGTTGTAGTTAGTTCATTGTCGCTTAGTCCCCAAACCTGCTGCTTTTAGCACAGCTGTGTGGTGTTCCAGCCCTCCGCGATGGGCAGTCGGAAGTTGGAGCATTGTGGAAGTTGGAGCATTGTGCTTCAATAGAAGCTGAATTCAGTGAAATGAAAATTGTTTTCAACTCTATCTTGTTTAAATATTTATCATTCTATTTCTTTGGTGCACAACAGCCTTTTGTAATTTGTATTCCTGTAATATCATTATTTATAGGACTTGCTGTATTGCAGGCAATTCATCTTGTAGTCGAACTGCAGAATCAAGGAATTCTTAGTTGCAAAATACCTCTGGAAGTAAGTTATCTAACTTCCAATAATGAATTGCTGGCATTATGCTGAAATACTTCATTGTTATGAAAGCAATTGGATTTATTAAATATCAGTGAGTACACTCTGAAGGAATTATGGATTTAGCAAGCAAAAATGGTTGCCTTAGTGAGTCATTATTTGCTTTTAGCTAAAAATAGTCATTGAAAAAAATGGCATAATTTTAAATCAAAGTAAAAATCAACATGTCTTTTGAAGCTGCATATTAGACAGTTTCTTCAAAATTTTCTTTAAAACCTTTGGTAGACACAGAAATTGCCACAGTGACCTGGCTTGCCATAGAAGACCCCAAATTATCATCCGGTAGACACAGAAATTGTCACAGTGACCATTGCCATAGAAGACCCCAAATTA